GGAAATGCAATGTAGGGAGCCAAGCATAGGCATATAGAATGTTCAGTACCACACTTTATAGACAAATAGAACATAAAAGAGGATGACAAATCCAGTATTCAGGTTTTATGCTTGTTATAGTCCTCAGCTAAAAAGGCCTTGCAGGGGTCTCTTTAGATTTTTGGATGAATGTTGTGATGGAGAATAAATTCTTAGCCCCAGTTTTGAACATGAGATTTGACTTTATTTTTGCAATTTTTAGTAGAAGGTCTTTTTGTCTAAAGTGGTATTGTTCCTGACACTAATAAGAAACTATAGAGTAAAACCTTTCTTGGTAGGGTGTGCTAGCAGGCCCTGTGCCCAGCAGGGCTGTGGCACCTCCAGGGGATCAGTTCCCTGTTGCCTGTGGTTCAGTGATGGGAACCGGGTGGCCCTGCTGATGGTGCTCGCTCCCCCCCAAGGAGGTTGGGACATCCCGTTCGAGTCTTAGAGCTCGTCCCTCGTCACGTTCCATCCTTCTTAGACTCTCGCGCAGTGTTTGGCGCCGAGTGCTGCGGGGCGCCCCCCGGGTTTGTCTCCTTGCTGCCTGCGGTTCGATGAGAACAACCCGGCGCCCCCGCTGATGGCGCCGGCTCCTCCGTGAGGAGGCAGGGACAGCCCGTTCCATCCTTAGGAACTCTCTCTCATCGTGTTCCATCCTCCTTGGATTCGCCCTCAGTGTTTGATGCCGGGTGTTGCGGGTCCTCCCCCCGGGTCGGTTCCTTGTCACCTGTGGTTCTCTGTAAGAAAGCTGATGCCTGTGCTGATGGTACCTATTCCTCCTGGAAGAGGCTTGGATGAGCCTTAGAGCTCGTCCTTCATCGCGCTCCATCCTCCTTAGATTCTCCCTCAGTGTTTGGCGCACAGTGCTGCGGGACCTCTGGCGAAATCGGCTCCTTGTCGCCTGTGGTTCCATGAAAGAAACCCGTGGTCCCTGCTGACGGCGCCTGCTCCTCCTGGAGGAGGCTCGGATGTGCTGTCTAGTCCTTGGAGCTCGGCCGTTGCCACGAGCCGTGTTGTGAGCCCTGCTCTGCTGCCGTCTCCTCCTGCTCGAGTGGTTGTAGCCTTGGGCCTGGTGAACCCTGCCGTGGCCATTGTGGTGCCGCCTTTGGTACCTTCTTCGGTTCGTCTCTCGAGCCCCACCGTGCCTACCGCCCCGGGTCCCACCACGGCTTTTGCTGTAAGAGTTGCGGTGCTGGCGTGCTGAGGAACGATGCCACCTCCATTCCTCAGAGCTGGATCCAGCTCTCCCTCCTTGAGCATGGCTGTCGGAGCTGCTGTGCTGCCCAATAGAGCACATCTCGGAGTCAGTGTCTCCCACCATGCAAAAGTAGTGTGGGAAAGACCACTGGCATATTGGGCAACCTACTCTTCTGTGGAACCACTCCACTAGGCAGGAAAAACAGACAGGATGCCCGTGCAAGCTCACAGAGGCTTGGTCATTTATGGTGTCCAGGCAGATTGGGCACCTTAGGCTCTCTGAAACACCCGGAGGTGTGGCCTGGGACATGTGGTCAGTGGTGGCAGCACAAGAAGAGGTGCTGCCTTCTCTCAAGTCCTCCTCCAAGTCCATCTCGCCCTGCAAAACAAAGAGATAAGAGGCTGTTGCGTCCGCCTGTGCGAGGGACACAATCTGCAGCAAAGCTGCCAAAGTTGAGTGCTAAAGGACTGCTCTCTCTGCCTCGGCGCTGCGTTTGGGCTGCCACAAATGCCAGAGATCATCCTGGGGCAAGTGAGTGACACTGGGGTGTCTTGGTATGTTCCAGCTCTCAGGGCAGGATGGTGACTGACCTCTCTGACACGTGCAGGCAGGAGTTGGAAAGGTGTGAAAAGGATTCCTGGCCTCTCAGCAATGGCAGCCGGAGCCTGGGTACATGGCAGGTTGGGTCCAGTGTCCTGGGCCCAGTGAGTGTACCTGTCTGGCAAGTCCTCTCTGTGCCCTCAGAAGGCACCCAACGGGCTGGATGTCCTTTGTCACCCCACGTGCAGATGTCTGTTTCTGATGGAGGAGGCCAGGCACTGTGGCCCTTCAGGGCATCCCCACACCTCCAAAAGGTATGTTGTCAGGGGTGTCACAGTGACTCCCTGGTGACATCACAGGACTTCCAGGACCACACTTTGGCCTCAGAGAACAAAACCTTGCCAGATAGTTCATCTCACAGGACTGCCGATGAGGGAGCAGAATCCCTTTGCTTTTTTTTTTCATATAAATTTGGAGGCTTCGCCAATCGTACCCAGGCCTGTGTTCTCTTTTAGAAATAAACCATTTCAAGGCATTTCTCCCTCCTTGGCTGACTTTGCAGGTCAAGGAAGTTGATCCTCCCTCTCTGCTTAGTTCTGTTGAGGGTACAATTGGAGTACACTGCCCAGTGCTGGGCTCCCCAGCATAAGTCGAGATGGACATACTGGAGAGCATCCAGCAAGGGTCTACAGGGATGATGAAGGGACTAGAGCATCTCTCCTATGAGGAAGGAGCTAAGAGTGCTTCTTTCAGGCTGTTTAACCTACAGTAGATTCCAATGGGTATTTTTTTCAATATAAATCAGTACCTGAAGACAGGGTTGAAAGAAGACAGAGCCAGGCTCTTTTTAGGGTGCCCACTTTTCCCCTCTGAACATTTGAAATGTTCCCTCTGAACATTTGGAACCTTTCTTTTACTGTGACAGTGATGTAACACTGGCAGAAGATTTCCAGAGTGCTCGTGGACTCTCCCTCCCTGGAGGTGATTCTCAAGACGTGTGTGGCCCTGGTCGTGGGCTACTTGCCACTTTTCCCTGGAGGAAACCCTATTGTGTCTACTTTCCTCACTATCTTTCGGTACAATAATCCATGCTCTTCAATTCCAGGTTTACAGCCTGGCCCTCATCACAATCCTTCCTCATTTGCTTCTCTCACTTTGTTTGACCTTAAGTGCTGCTTGACCTCACCTGAAATTGTCTCTCTGTTGCCTTTCATTTCCTGGAGGAAACCCCACTGATGTTTCTCACTCCTCTGATAATAAGCTGGGACTAGCTCTTCTGGACTTAGAGGTCACCCCTTCTCATGTTCAGTATTGGAGTTAAACCAACTAAAGTGCCACAGGTTGTCTAACTCTTGATAGATCTGGAAATGCTTTATTTACGTAAATCTGATAACCCTACTGAAGTACTGTTTCATCAATTTTATCAAAGACACCTCTTTTGTTCCAAAACTTTCACGTACCCTCAGTCACAAATAAAGTGCAAGACTGGGACTGGTTGTAAGGGCTGGTGAACGTTTTGCAGGTGAGCAGTTAGTCCTAAGCTGTACTACCCCTCCCTGCTGATCATACAGCATCTTCAGCACTTTTCCAGAAGAAGAAGTTGTATTGGGTTTAAGGCCACTGACGTCCTGGCTTGTATCAGCAATAGTGTGGCCAGCATGAGCAGGGCAATGATTCTCCCTGTGTTCTTGGCACTGGTGAGGCCATACCTTGAATCCTATGTTCAGTTCTGGGCCCCTTGTTGGAGACCTGACAGGTATTAGGCCTGAGAAGCAAGGAGCAGCTGCCCAGCAAGAGGCCTAGTAAATCTAGTAAATGACTGTCTGTATTAACAACTGGTCAGATGACAAAAGTGAACTGTATTAGGGTAGGGTGGATGTCGGCAGCCCCTCATTGCAAGACAATGAGATGCTGGAGCATATTCAGAGAAGAGCAGCAAAGCTGGTGAAGGGTCTAGAGCACAAGTCTGATGAGGAGTGGCTGAAGGAGCTGGAGTTATTTAGCCTGGAGAAGAGGAAGCTCAGAGAGGGCTCAACACTCTCTGCAACTACCTGAAAGGAGGCTGTAGCCAAGTGGGGGTTGGTTTCTTCACCCAGGCACATAGTGACAGGACAAGAGGATGTAGCCTCAAGCTGTGTCAGGGGAGGTTCAGATTGGATAATCAGGAAGAATTTCTTCAAAGAAAGGTTTATTAAGTGTTGGAATGGACAATCCAGGGAGGTGGTGAATTCTGTGTCTCTGGAGGTGTTTAAAAGGCATTTAGGGGTATGGTTTAGTGGTGGACATGGCAGTGCTTAATTAGTAGCTGAACTCGATCACCTTAAAGGTATTTCTCAGCTCAGATGATTTTGTGTTGTTCTAGTGTGATATATGTGTACATGTAGATCGACTTTCCCCACCTGTCTTCTAGAATTATTTCAACAGTGTTCACAATACATATGGGAAATTCCTTCAATTCATTCCAGTACGTAACGGCACTTGCAACACTTCTCCCTCTCTGTTTGCCTTGTCTCTCCCCGCTGCGCCCCATAGCACAACTCTTTGTATAATTGCATTGGATCTGTTTTCAAAGAACTTTCTATCTATTAGACCTGCCCAAACCGAGTATTTTACGACAAAGAATCAATATTTAAGCTTGTGCTTAATTGATGGTTGCTGCTTTCCAGGTTAATCTTTCCCACTGAATGCAGTATACTGCTATTTTCCAGGTATATTGAAGTATTTTATAATAATGAAATGTCCTTCTGATGATTTTAGTGATAGTAAATAACTTTTTATTCCTGCATTAGGAAAGGTATATCCCATCTGAGTTTTTTAGGTGTGTTCTCTGAGAGGTTTTAAAAGAACTTATGACTGAAACATTAGAGAATTGTCTGCTGGTGCAGGCTTTAAATAAATAATTTGGTCTTATATAGGCAGCATAAATATTTATTAACAAATCCTGACATGGGCTGTTCTCTTCATTACATTTTTCCTTATGCTTGTTGTAAGCCAAAGAAACTTGTTTTAGTGTGGTACAGATTGCTGTTGCTGTGTTACTCTTTTTCCATTCTTGCTTTCTGGTCCTTGAAACAGCATGTTTCTGAGACCCACAGCTGTCCCTTTTTAGCTATAAATCAGTTATAATTAACTCATTATGAGCATTGCCATTTTCTCAACAATGTCATTGTTGCAAATGCAGCTTTTTCAAAAGTATCTGTGCTCTCAGGGAGCTCTCAGGCACCTATTAGATGTTCTTTGCAGGGTGATGATTTCAATTCTTTGTTGTTATCTGTTCATTATAGAGCTTTAGGGAATAAATAATTCAAAACTACTCAACCTGAATATATGTTTGAGGTTTTTTTGTAGATTCTATGGAGTGTTCTACATACTAGCAATATTATATATATATATAACACAATTTTTTACTGCATTTCTTAAATGGAGAAATTTTTTTGCAAGAGTTAACTTTATTTCTTGTTTTATACAACCTTCAATTAATTCAGAAGAATTTGAATGGAAATTCAGTAACAAAAAGAAGTTTCTTCAGTTTTCTGGTACTTGTACTGAAAGGTCGCCATTGCAGTTAGAATCCAGTTCAATTCTGGCAGGTCACATCTACAAAAAGCATCAAGCTGAGATGATGTGATCCCCTTTAAAAGACTGATAGATGGAATTGCAAGCCTCTTCTATTACTGCTCCCACTGAGATCATTTGGCTTCCCTTTCAGCTGGGGAAGAATTAGTTGAGAAGTGCAATCTGTGGACTGTGACATTTTCCTCTCAGCGCTGGTGACTGTCCAGTTTTTTCAAACATAATAGTACATACCACATGAGTGCGGACAGCACAGGTATTCAGTACACGGTCTGTATTACAATTGTGTAAGTTTAAAGTTCCTAAGGATGCTAAATATCATGTCACTGATTGCTCTGTTTTTTAATATTTTTCAGAAATGGAAAAATTTCAGGGTTCTGAAGGCAAGAAGGAAGATGAAGAAAAGAAATATCTCGATGTTATCAGCAACAAAAACATAAAGCTGTCAGAGAGAGTTCTGATCCCTGTCAAACAATATCCAAAGGTACTGTAAATATAGCCTAACACTTGTATACAGGCTTTGTGATATTAAAAAAAAAAGAAATCAAGCTCCTACTTAAATTTACCTATTATCAGCTATTACATGTTTTAACTTATGTCTCAGGGCCTTTCAGAAAAGCTGTTAAAGTGAATGAGATTTTTTTTTCATGTAGGTTTTGTAAATTATCCTTAGGCAGATCATTGATCTTTTTTCTCAGAGTTGCTTTTCCACATGTACCATTTTTTTATGAATTTAAATACCAGTTAACAAAGAAAAAATGTTACAGTAACTCTGAGAAGCTTCGTCATAGAAGAGCTGGGTGATTTTCTCTGGTGTAAGAAGTTTTAGAAGATCAAGTACCAGGATTACTGATTACTGCAGGCTGTAACTATGACAATGTTCATCTTTGTTTACAAAAATCAAATGTCTTAGCACCTTAAACTTTCTTCCCTGTTCTCACTTCTGCACAATCTTTTAAAACAAGATTTTTTTTTCTTAACAAAGAGCCCCAAATCCAGCTGCTAGTCAGAAGTTTTAGTTTTTTATTTTACGTAAGAGAATGTTGATTTTTTGGGGCTTGGGTGTTTATTTGCTTTTCTTGTACAGTGTTTTATTTTACATAAACAGTTTTAATAGTATTCATACTGAAACGGTAAACATCTCCATTTGTCTTCCTTGCTGATTTATTATCACATGGCATTTATTTCATCATTAGCCTTGATTACACTCTCAGCTTTTTACTTAATACTTTCATCAGAACAATAAATTACAATTGGTAAAAAGCCAATCAAACAAAATGAAAGGTGTAAAAAAATTCTGATTCAGTGATTCCAGCTGACATTTGCTTCCTGACTAGTGAATATAAAACTGATATAATGTCATAATCCAAATGGTAAACATCTTAGAAACACATACAGTGCTATAAGGAATTACTTTCTTGCTGCATAGCCTAAGTTACTTTGGCTAGATTTGTGGTATTTTGTGTAAATGCTGTAGGTGACCTGAAATTCTTAGTAAAAATGTAGTCATTCTGTAACTTCATAATGGCAATGTGATAATTATTCAGAGTACTGTTTGATGAAGATAGTAGAATGAAAGACAAACTATTAAAGGACAAAATGCAATAATCTATCCAGTATAGTATCCGAATATGATTTCATTAAGCTTCATTTACTTTAATGAACCTGTCATGTTAATGAATAGTAAAAAATGTAAAGCATTTTCACAGATTTAGACCAGTGAAGCAAAAAAAATCAGTTTTATGGAAATGAAATACTTATTCAAGAATGAAAATAAACTGGAAAGTTTCTGTAGTTGATTTGCTAGCAATATTCTGTGCCTGGCATGGAGTTATTCCCAGAACTGCAGGTTTGCTGCTACCATCTCTGGTAACCATCCTTCAAGGATTCCATTTGCCATTTGTATCAAACTGCTGAGTGCTGCGATCGAGTGTCTAATCTTTTCTTGAAAATTGTATGCATAAAAGTAGTTAAAACCAGTACCCAGTGGTTGCTTCAGATTCCTTTATAAATAACCAAAAAAAAGTAGGAACTCAATTAAAAGAGGATTAGTATTATTTATGGGAGCCCCTGGTGGTCTAGAGGTTAAGGACGTGGCACTGTCACCGCCAAGGCCCGGGTTCGATTCCTGGTTGGGGCCACTCCCCGAGCAGATGGAGCTCATTAGCCCTGTAAGGCAATCCATCTACGTCCTGAGGACCTCGCTGCCACCGTCCAAGCTCGCTTGACCCTGGCAGATGAACCTTAGGATTAAAGGGTGGGCTCAGTTCCGCGCACACTGTGTCTCCCCTAAAAAATCCAATGCGCAGGCTGGAAGGTGTAAAGACCTTCCCCGGTTCTTCGTTCACAAAGACTGGCCATTATATTAGTATTATTTATTGAGTAGAATATGGTTATAAGAGCAGTTGATCAGATCTACATTAATAAATAGGTAAGATTATTACCATGTGATTTCACCTGAGAGACATTTATCACAAACTCATAGAATATGCTGAGTTGGAAGGGACCCACAAAGATCATCGAGTCCAACACTTTGCTATGCACAGGACCAGCCCCAAGAGTCACATCCAGGGTTGACTCATCCTAGATGCAGAATCCAGCACTTTCTCTTGTTGAACTTCATGTGGTTGGTGATTGCCCAGTCCTCTTAATTTTTCGAGGTCTCTCTGCAGGGACTCCTTGCCTTCCAGGGAGTCAACAGCTCCTCCCAGTTTTGTGTCATCAGCAAACTTAGTATCCCCTCCAGCTTCAGAGTAATTTATGAAAATGTTGAAAACCACTGGGCCTAAGATGGAGCCCTGTGGAACCCCACTAGTGACATGTTGCCTCTCTGATATTACCCTATTCACTGTTACCCTCTGGGATCCAGCTGTGAGCTGGACAGTTTGTCCAGAAGCATCCTGTGAGAGACAATATCGAAAGCTTCGGTGAAATACAAAAAGATTATATCAGCTGGCTGGCCCTGATGAACTAAGTGGGTTACCTTGTCACAGAAGGAAATCACGTTTGATAAGCAGGACTTTCCCCTCATGAAGCTGTGCTGGCTGTGACCAGTGAGTGCATTGTCTTGCAGGTGTTTTTCAATACTTCCCAAAATAATCTTCTCCATAACTTTACCAAGCACTGAAGTGAGACTGACAGGCCTCTAGTTTCTAGGCTCCTCTTTCCTGTCCCTAAGCTGGGACAGTGTTCGCCATCTTCCAGTTAGCTGGGACTTCCTCTGGATTCCCAAGACCATTCAAAAATCATTGAGAGACCTTTTTTGGTTTATATTTGTAAGAACGTTATTTTAAATTATTTGTTCATTGTTTGCTGATAAGCTTTTTTGGGCAGTTTTGGGTTTTGCAAATCTGAAGAAAGTGTCCTAGAGTATAAAATTTTGAAAAAAAATTTTGTCCAGTTAAAACCCACTAAAAACCAATCACATAGTTTAGTGACTCTCTATTTAGGAGTGAATTCAATTCTTGAAAAACATTTGCTCTTACTTTAACTCCATGTATAAATACAAAGTTCTCAAAGGGAACCCTTGGCCTAAAAGTTTATTATGGTCTGCAGGTTGAGCTGCAGTGATGGTAGATCCCTTCAATAACAGCTGTAGAGTCAGAAGCAGCATTTTAAAGTCTGAGCAAAAGTTAACACAAAAGTCTTCTAGTGGTTAAACAACTCTTGAAGTTGCAGAATAAGTATTATAAAATTGTCTCTACTCAAGTGTCTACAGTCTGATTTTTGAAATTGCTAGTGTGTACAACAGGAAAAGAATATGAAAGACTGATTAGCACCAGCTGTCTTACATTACTAGCTCTGTTAATGACACGAGCCTTTCCCCTCTACTGTAAAACCAGGATCTAAAATAGAGACAGAGGTGTTAGTTGATACTTCAGCAGTGATTTCTATGAGATGAATTATTTTAAATACCAGCAGCCCAGGTAGGTAAAAGTAGCATCTCATTTACACACATTCCTCTATGCTGCAGATATTTTTAGTAGATTCAGATTTTCTCTTGAAACAGTGATTCCGTGTCTTCTGTTTGTTGATCCTTCTTTCTGTCCCATAACACCATTTTTTTTCTGTCATGATACGTGAATTCCAATTAAGACTTGCATGAAATCACCTCAAGGTTTGTTCAAAAAGATTTTAGCATTTATCAGTGTAATGTCGTATTACAAATACATCAAATATGGGTTATTGAAAAAAGAAACCAACAGAAATCTGAAATTACCTTGTTACTGAAAAACAAAAGACACAATTTAGAGGTTTGATGGGAAACTTTGTCATTTGCATGGCAATACAGATTTTTGCTGTTTACTAACCAATTGTTTGGCTTCCATTTTGTCGCATAATCATCATCTTTGTGATAACTTGTTCAAGAAGCATGTAAATTGGGCCTTGCAAATTTGTTCTTTTATACAGTTTAAAAACCTGGGACTTGTTTAAAGCCTTGGCTTGATGTAGCACATAATAGAGAAATTTTTTGTTTGCAAGCTTGTCCAGTGCACGCTGTTGTTGAGTTTGGTGAAATTCTGCCGCCTTTATGCTTGGCTTCAGCTTAGCTGGATTTCAACCATTAAGGAATGGCTCAGTTTGTTAATTTCTTTTGCTTTCTTTAGGTGCAAATATATGAAATATTTGACAAATGAGAAAAATAAACAATACGTGCATAAAAATCTTAAATATTGCAGTGCATCTGTTGTGGTTTGGCCTCAGCCAGCAACCAACCCCCATGCAGATGTTCACTCACTCCCACCAGTGGCATGGGAAGGAGAGACAGAATAGTAAAAGTGAGAAAACTCAGGAGTTGAGACGACAGTTTAATAGCTAAAACACAAGTTGTGTATGGAAGTGAAGCAAAACCAGGAATGAATTCACTTCTTCCCACGTGCAGGACAGCAGGGCTCCATCATGTGTAGCAGAGACTTAGGAGGAACAAACGCCATCACTCCAAACATCTTCCTCTTCCCGCATTTTCCCCCACCTTTATATGCAGAGCATGACACCATATCGTTTTTGATATCCGTTTGGTTAGTTGGGGTCAGCTGTCCCAGCTGTGCCCTCACCCAACTCCTTGTGTGTCCTCAGCCTTCTCACTGGGGGGGTGGGGTGAGGAGCAAAAAAGCCTTGAACGCTCTGCAAGCACTGCTCAGCAATAACAAAAACATCTTTGTATTATCAACATTGTTTTCAGCAGAAATCTAAACCACAGCTCCACATATTTCTCCATTAAAGAAAATTCTTACCCAGCCAAAATGAGTGCAGTATCTTTTACTATTTTAAAGATTCAGTGCTGAATATTATTTGTTTATATTGATTTATGCTTCATAAACTCATGACTTCAAGCAAATATCTTACACAAACTTAGCGTTGCTATAGATTTCATTGTGAAGGGTGAGCTTTTCCATTGATGTTCTGTCTTTACATCTGACTCAGACAATTAATATGGTGATTTTTATGGTGATTTAGCATTCTCTTTCTTTTATGTGTTGTTTC